TTTCAACAATGTGATGAACGAAGTGGACAAATAAATAAATTTTCTAATTCAATGTAAGCGTTTTGACAACATTTATATGTAATAAAGTACACACAAGTATGCAAAAAAAGTTTAAAAAATTACTACAAAAATCTCTAAAAAAAATCTTTTTCGTGAAAAAATTAAAAAAAATTTAGAATTAAAATGACAGAATTTACAATATTTTCATGTGAACTAATAAAAAAATGTTATAAATAAAAACATTTTTCACCAATTGAATATAAAATCATATCTCATATCTTTTGGTGATATAAAATCTTAAATTTTGCTCGAAATTACTTTTTCATTTTAACGGAGCTTTAATTTGCATGTTGTTCGATTTTTTTTATACCTCTCGTCCAATTAGGGGAAGCTCGCTCTTGTACTCTTGGTGCTCTTGCAATAAAATAAAAAGCAAGCATGATTACGAATTGAAAAAATGCGCATCCCAAATGAACTCGAGCACGCGTATGAAAATAATCTGTGCTATGCGTGTAAGTGGCGTTTTCCCAGCAGAAATCCCATTTAATCTCCATCAGTGAGGCGCACACTGCTTAATATTTAACGAGGCCCGACACGCTAGCGTTTCTTGCTATAAAAGTAGTGCGTGTAATCATATTCGCAGCATCTCTAGCTCCAAAGGAGGAGAACTTTTTTGGCTTCAGAAAAGCGTGCTGCGTTGCGGAAAATCAGTCTGCAAATCGAAACCGATTCAATTCACCGCGCTATTAAAAAAAAGAAAAAGTTGCTGAGCGTTCAAACCGAGATAATTTGTTAAATGCGTAATAGGCAACCCGCGTGACACATAAATGAGTTTTATTTTATCTCTGTGGTTATAATTCATCCGAGTCTAAAGGGAAATTGTTTTTTTTTTTTAGGGTCAGGCCAAGACAAGGTCTTGTCGGCCTGTGCCCTTTATTGGTGGTACAGAAGGCACCACCCAATTAATTTTTTATTTTTTTATTTTTGGGTTCAACTTTATTTAAAAAATCATCATTTTTTGCTGGCATATCCTTAATTTTGGTCCACGCGATGATGACAAACAAAGCTGAAAACTAAAAGAGAGAAAAAAGATTAAGAAAGGATGTGGATTTGTTTGGGGTAGGGGAAGGTCAGATTTTGATATCTTTTGGTGTTAAGGATTTACCGCATAATTTTTTGTTTCAATCATTATGTCTATTTTTATTTTTATTTGTGCTGCAAATTAAAAATAAAAAGGTTTAATAAAATTTATTAAAATAAAAAATGTATTTTTGACAGATTTTTCACCTGCAAAAAAAAACTAGTCTTCAATTCATTATTTTTTTTATCGAAAAATCTTGAGACAAGTTTTAATCTATATTAGTTTTCATTGATATAAATATTGTTCGAATTTGCGCAAACAATAATAATTTTTTGACTTATTTTATAAAATATTTTGACAAATTTGACGCCGAAAAAGGACATTTTTCTGTTGATAGTTTATTTTACTCCTATTTTAAAATATCTAGTTGAACGTCATTAATTTAGCCAATCACAGTTTGTTGTCAGGAATTACTAAATTATTATTCTATATCAAACAAGGAAAATGTGTGAAAATCGCAGAATGATGCGAAAATAACAACGGAAATTCATGAATAGTAAATTGAAATATTTGAAAATTCAAAAACTTTCAAAACTGATCTAGTTTAAATTGGCGGTCTTAAAAAAAATTCAAATTTCTTTGTAAAGGGAATTATGATTAAATTAAAATTAATGGATAAATTATTCTCATATATCATAAATTAGCAAAAATTTTAAGTTATTTAATTTTCCTTAAAATAATTTTTGTTAAATTATATCATTTTATGCTTGCAAATTTTAATATTCTCAACAATACTTTTAGCGCTGACATTGAAACAAAACACGCATCAGCTCCAATCCAATAAATCTGTTTTAGAGAGCGAAACGCTCAGACCGAGAAAATTCCTCTCTCATGATCGTCATACCGACGAGTGCTTTCAGAAACGGCAGCACCCGTGATATGCCAGTTGATAATTTCGCATTCCAGCCGAACACGTTTCCATGACTACACCTTGCCGAAAGGTAGTCTGCAGAGATTAAAAAACAATACACACGCATATATAAACGCGAAAACAACTAACTGCTTTAACCTCTCCCTTCCGCCTGCAGCCCCTTTTCCGCAAATAATGAGCACCGTGTGCCCACTCGGGTGGAAGCCATTTTCGCTCAGTATTAATTTGAGCAACGTGCCTTTTGCAAAAAGCACAGCACGTTTCCCTCAAATCACTGCGCCAAACGCTTAAAGTTTATAGCGCTCGGCTGCTTAAATTTCTCCACGGTTCAGATCTTTGCCTAACCAAATCAGAAACAAACTAGAAATTTTGTTTTATATTGGCTGATATTAAAAAGGTATAGTTTTTTTTTTAATTTTTAGTTAGAATTTCTCAAGATATCTTGGAATTTCAATAAATTTGCAAAATGCAAAAAGGATGTTCATTATTTTTGCACAATTTAAAGATCCTCTCCGGTCATTTGTATTGCTCTCTTTTCTGAAATATTGCTAAATTTCGAGTACATTTTTGAAAAAACTATGTAAAAATTCTAAACCATTGCGTCGCAATCAAAAGTAAACCTAAATACGAGTGATTCGCGCGAAAAACGTGTGAGAATTGAGTTGCCAATCAGATCCCTCAATTTCATTCGAAAACTGCAGGATTTGGTCACATTGGCGCTCCGATCGCTGATTTTGCCACTAATGCCCCACGGCGATGCAGAAAACTTGGCAAAATCAGCGATCGCAGCGCCAATGTGATCAAATCCTGCAGTTTTTGAACAAAACTGATGGATCTGATTGGCTACTCAATTCTCACATATTTTTCGCGCGAATCACTCGTATTTAGGTTTTTATTTGATTGAGACGCAACGGTTTGGAATTTTCACATAGTTTTTTCGAAAATGTACTTGAAATTTAGCAATCTTTCAGAAAAGAGAGCAATACAAATGACCGGAGAGGATCTTTAATATTAAATTAATGAAAAATTTCATTTAATCAAAATTTGGTTTAATAATGTTGTTAATTGGGGATTTTTAATTAATTCATGAAGCCAATCTATTTAAAAATTTGACTCTGTTAGTTGCTTTATTTTTTCCCATTTTCATGATCAACTAGAAATTTAAATCAAGTTTGTGAAAAACACCTCAGGTGGTGTTTTAGTTGGTTGTCCTGTCACTGTTATTTTACTCAATATTCTCTTCAATCCATCTTGATTTAATTTGGAAAATTACCAAATTTTTGTAGCTAATGATGAGATTAGTTACCAAAAACAGTTTTTTTTTTATCAGAAACGAATTGAATTAACTGACCATTTTTAACTGTTCAGAAAAAAGGAGTCACAGATCGGGAATGAAACAAGCATAGAATAATTTTATTGAAATAAATTTCTTTGACGTTTTATTACTTTAGTCGCCAATTGCCTACCTTTTTAAATTGAATTTAATTTCCAAAGTTTATATTATAATCTGATTATAATAATATTTTGTTACAAAATTGTCCAGAATAGAACAAAAAATTACTCCATTTATTCCAAATTATTTCGAACCGAATAATATTGCAGTGGTTTTAAAAAAAAAAGCAAATACGCACTAATGGATGAATTTTTTACGACTGAATTGGAAAAAATTTCAGACGGAGGAAAAGAAGGAAAACGTCAAATATGAAAGAAGAGAGCACGGGCGGCGTGTTTTTATTTGAAAGAAGAGGCGCACCATTTTGCAAATGAAACGCGAGACTTTCTCCAAACAAAAGAACGCGCGCCAAACGAACAAAAATGTGCTGCGGGGGTTGTTGTGTTTGGTGCGGGTGGAAATCTCGAATTCAAACAATGGCAGCCGAGCGTGCATCAGGTGAATATTGTCTCTGATAACGTCTCCTGCAGGCAAAAGTAAAAAATAGCTCGTTAAATTAGCATCGATTTCATTTCTCGGAGGAGCAAATTAATTGAGAAAAAAAAGGCGAGCAGGAAACATTAATTACAGCTGTTCTAATTTCCAATATCGGTACACAAGATAGAGATACTTTCCTCCGTTCTGCGCACAAAATTACGCAATGTTTGTAATTAAAAACAACAAATCAGTGCAAAGTGCTTGTCTATATTTAAATATAAAAACTGAAATTTTGGTCAAATTTGTATTTCATCACATCATGATTTTAAACTCAGAAAAAATGTAACAGAAATTTCTTATAATTGACTCACTGAATTGTTCAGACGTAAAATTAAATCATAAATTTAAATCTATAATTGAATTCAATTGAATTTATTTAAAAAAAAGGCTCACTGCAGCGCACGGGGTCTTTTGGATCTCCAAAGTTTTAGCTGAATTCTTGCTAGTTTTGTCCAAAAATTCCTCTCTTTTCAAATAATTGTTTTCATCAATTGAATGTTAACAATGTGGACGAATAAACAATAATAGCAACAGCGGTTATAAAAATTATATTTTGTCAACAAATTTAATGAGGGCGATTTTCAAAGACAAATTTTAAATTTGAATTCCGTTTCTTTAAAAATTTTCCAAGAGTTAACTTTGCTGCCTCAGTCAGGTTATAGGCTTAATGAAGTTTCAGAGTAATTTGAAATCTTTCAAAACCGCTTTTAAATTTTACTAAAACAAATCATTTCACTTTTTTATTCGAAGAGTTCAAATTAATTCGACCGATTTCAAAACACTCTTCAGTATTGATTTTTATTTGAAATTTTTGAAAATAAATCCACATAAAAAAGTTTTCAGAACAAATTTCAAGCTTGAGTGTTTTTTTAAATGTGTAATTTACACTGGTCGGAAAGAAAGTTTACAAATCAGTCCGTCAGCCGGAGTGTTGCTCGCGCAAGTGTCAAAAGGATTTGTTAGCACTTGTTCTCGACTCTGCGCCTGCTGGATCAGTCAGTTAATTTAGTCCGGCGGCGCAAAGCGAACTGCTTTAGTTTGTCTTCGCCGCCAGCACAGATAAGCAGCTGCTCTCTCACCACACTCTGTCGACAACTAAAACTTTTGATTCGCGGCGCACGTGTGTGTTTTCGGGTTGTTCTGTGCCCAGGAATTGCGTTTTGTCAGAGGGAGATGCACCCTTAGAGCAGGATTATGGTTCGAATTTTGAGCCCCTTTTCGGCGAAGGAACACTTCAAAGGGGTAAATACAAATCCGTCTTTGATTTTAGGATGTTTCCATTTATGATTTGGAGAGGAATTTAAGTAATACTATCAAATGATAAACAATTTTGTTTGTTTGTCCACATTGTTTAAATTTTGATTGTAACAATGAAGACAAAAATAACAAAAATAATTGCATTAAATCATTGAGAGGAAATTTGTTTTGAAAAATATAGGAAATATTTGAATAGAAAATTATTATAATTTGAAAGTAATTTTTGTTGGATTATTTGTTTCCTTTCAATTAAATAATTTGATTTTAATTAAAATGAAAGAAAAATATTTAATATTTGATGGAATAAAACTAACTTTAATCGCCCCTTTATTATAAAATTATCTACTTCAAAGTTGCAGTCATTCAAATGTTTTTTCCGTCTAGATTGAAATTCGCAGTTCATTTATTCTTAATTACTTTTTTTTATTAATTTTATTTAAATAACTATATAAATTATTTCTAAAAATTTCTTTAGAGTTATTACTTTGCTCAGTTTTCTTCTTCTTGAAAGATGCACAAAAAATTGTAAATATTGGAAAAATTGGACGCAGAAGAGGCAAAAATGAAGATGCTGCAGCGGACACGCAATATCGAGAAATCGGATTTGATCAATCATCTGATAATGGGAGAAAAATTTCGCTCCGGCCTATCCCTTGCCCATCCGATAAAGGATGAAAAATTCACCAAGCCATTCTCATCTGCAAGGTGAAATGATAATACCCCCCGTGCGTCTTCCCCCGAGACTCTCGCTACTTTTTTTTCCGGCGTGCTTTTCCAATCATCTCTTGCATCAATCCACGATGAGAGCAAGGCCAAATCCTTATCCATCATCGCACGCAGCCCCATCTGATTTATTTTCAGCCCTCCATTAACCGTTTCTTTCCGGCCACGAACGAATCTCGCCGCGGCCCCGCCAGGCACGCAATTATTTTCTGTACCAACGTAATGCACACGCCGGTTTTGTCTTTGGCCGATGAACGAGCGAGCGATCCGTTCGTGAGGCACGAAACACTTTTGCGAAAAGAAAGTAGTGTGTGTTTCCAGCTAATCGAGAGAGGGAGGCTTTCATTTCGCACCTTCGGTGTTTGGCGCCGATAGAGCTGCAAAATAAGCAATTTTCTGGCTATTTTGTTCAAGGCTTCAAAAAATCGAAGGTGAAAATTCACTCCGAACATTTAAACCCGACGATTTTTTATATTTTTCTGATGAAACTTGAGCGAAGCCATCATGGACGTGAAGAATTCGGGCTTATTCCTCGTTGTAAACATAGTTTTTAAAAACTCCGTCCGATATCGCTTGGCGCCGCAGACGTTAAAACAATATTAAGGTAGATGTAAATTAACAACAAATTAATTTAATTTAAGCATGGAAATGAAGAGATCGGGCTTTTCCTTGTTGCAGTAAAAATGTTTTTATTCAAATACACATTTAAAACGCTTTGAAGCAAATCGTTTTTTGAAAAAAGTAGTTTTTTTAGCAATTAAATTTCCTTTTCTTTTAAAATTAATTTTTAAGAATATTTTTATTTCCTTGTTGTTTAAAATTTGATGACCGATTTTCAGCAAAATTTTTTACACTCAAAAATCATATTTATAAGATTGAAGTTCTACAATGAATTGCCAGATTATAGCGCTAATTAATCTTAATTATTTAAATTATTGTAAAACTGTGACAAGAGAATAGTTTTTAATTATATTTGAAGAAATGGACACCTTAGAAGATGATCATGGAAATGAAGAAGTTCCTCGTTTTATGGTTTAACAAGGAACTTCATTATTTTCATTTTAAAATGTATCCTGAAAATTCTATTTCAATTTTAAAAAGTCTGAAAACAGCCCTGAAATTTGAAAAATTGTAATAAAATAGTATAAAACGTCTCTTCAGTGAAAATTTTAGGAAATAATAAACGGTCTGATATTGTCAAAATTGTCATCATGGGAGTGCAAAAACTTCATTTTTTTCTAATTTATTGAAAGCTCATTGAAAAGGCATTGGTTCCATTCCCACAATTAATGAAATTTTTTGTTATTTCATAGAAAAAATTTATTACTTTTTTATTACAATTACAATGTGACATTGCTTTTAAAATAAACCTGTTGTTCCATTTGGATTTTGTTGTAACTTTTGATTTGCGGAAAAGTTAAATGTAAATAAATAGAACGGCCGCGTCGTTCCACTCTCGAATCGATTGGCAAACTTGTCAGATGCAAACCGCAGAGACATTCCCACGCAAAACAGCTTTTGAATTTAATTAAAATAATTGATTTGCCTCCATTCGCATCTCACTCAACTTAATCAAAAAGCCATCGGCGGTCTGTTTTGATGATGGAAAGTGTTATTATATTTTTCGCAGGGTGCCGTCGGCGCGTCTTAGAATGATAGAGCAGCAGCATGTTTACAAAGAGCGCGAGCATGAATGAAGAGCCCCTAACGAGCGCCCCGAATGCAGATCAACAGAGCAGCCCGCTGCAGGAAAAGAACGGCAAGGGAAAGCGCTTCAGTTTCAGGACGGCGCGATCCGAGAGCACCGAGGTGAGTTTGCGGCCACAACAAAACTTGCGCACCCCTCTATCGCATTTCCGCCCCATTCCGAACAACCCCATCCGCGTGTTCTATCGAGTTTATCGCGTGCTTTTATTTTTGTATTTTCAGCTTAAGAGAGTTTTTCCGGCCACCCATTGACATTTAGAGAGCAGACGGAGATAAGCTAGAAAAAAGCAAAATGGATTGAGAAAAAAATAGCTCTAAAAAGTTAAAAAAATCATAAAAAAATTAATTGCTTTTCCATTTTTATTTAATTAAGGATCAATTTCAAAACGGGATTGAAAAGATATAATCGATTAATAATCCTCTCTGGTCTTTTGAATTTCTCTCTTTTCTGAAAGATGGCTAAATTTCGAGTAAATCTTGCAAAAAAACTATGTGAAAATTCCAAACAATTGCGTCGCAATCAAAAGAAAACCTAAATACGAGAGATTCGCGCGAAAAACACGTGAGAATCATGTTGCCAATCAGATCCCTCAGTTTCGTTCAAAAATTTGGTCATATTGGCGCTGCGATCGCTGATTTTGCCAAGATTTCTGCAGAGTGCTGTGGGGGACGAGTGGAAAAATCAGCGATCACAGCGCCACTGTGACCAAATCCTGCAGTTTTTGTACAAAACTGATGGATCTGATTGGCTACTCAATTCTCACAAGTTTTTCGCGCGAATCATTCGTAATTATAGGTTTTCTTTTGATTGAGACGCAACGGTTTAGGATTTTCACATAGTTTTTTCAAAAATGTACTCGAAATTTAGCAATCTTTGAAAAAAGAGAGCAATACAAATTACAAATGACCGGAGAGGATCTTTAAGAAAGGTCAAGTTCTATGGAATTGACCTTTGACCAACTACGGCGTCATTTTTAGAGTAAAAATGAATAAATTTCTCCCACCACGAAAAACACGCTACTTTTAAAAAATCTTTAACTTTGATGTAAGTTAATTTAATGATGATACAAAGAATGTTTTTTGCAAATGCCGAGATTATCGTGCAGAACACTGATTTGAACTTTTTATAAGGGAAATTTATCATGACAGAGAAAACCGAGAAAAACTATTAATATTGTTGTTTTTTCTTCAACATTATTTATTGACTTTGAAATTGGAGCAGGGAAAATAAATTTATTACTTATAATTTGTAGAACTTTTATGCTCAAAATGAATATTTTAAGCTGGAAAATTACAAATCATAACTTTCCACTTTCTATTTCGATCATGTATCATAAGAAACGCACTCAAAGAGCAAATCGATCCTCTCTTTTAATATCTAGAAAGGAAGTAAAAGAAAATAAGTGGAGCGCGTGAGTCGGTTACAAAAGCGGCGAACATAAAGAGCAAATCCCCGTTCCAAATCCGCACCACTTTCCGCCAATTAATCGTCACACATGAAAATCCGCGCCGCTTTCCTAACGAGTCTCGATTTGCCGGCGGATGGACGGCAACTTGTAAGCTGCGCCGGTGAACAATTTCGCTGTGTGTAATTTTTGCACACTGCCATTGTCGGCACGTCGTGTAAGCGCTCATTAACCGGATTATGTTATGTCTGCACATCGCCAGTTACGAGAGCTTGTATAATCTTTTACCGATTGTGCAATAGAGTGGAAAGTTGGTAACTCTCTCTCTCTCCCGTACGGATTAACAACCGACGTGCAAATTTGCCTTCTCCGTCGTGTGTGGCGATTTTACGCTTTTATTGCCACAACGTGCATGTAAAATCCGCAATAGGGTAGTAATACCGATTGTTCTAATGTGAAGAATTAATGGCTCATTTTAAGGTTTTGACTTTTGAAACAGACAAGCCTGGGGAAAAATCAATGAAACTTTGATTGTTATTTTTTAATTTTTGTTATAGAAAACATATTTATATTTTATTGAAAAAAAAATTGCTTAAAGTCAAGAATTAATATCATGAAAATTTTGTTTTTAAAATAAAATGTTAATGAAAAAAATTTGAAATGAAAAATTAAGACTATTCTCTCGGTAAAAAAATCCTTTTTCTAACCATTTTTCAAGCAAACTTCACTTCAGTAGGTTTAAATTGAATAAAAAGAGTTTCAGAATGAAACCTGACCTTTCTGAAGTACCAAAATAAATCAAAATTTTCCTTGAGAGAATTTAATTGCTACCATGGAAATTTACATGGAAAACGCCCCCAAAGTTTTAAATTATTTTGGCGGTAAAAATTAACCTTTCTTGAACCCCTGTTGACCTGCGAATTTTTTTGATTGCAATTTTGATTCCAGCAGTAAAATTTTGCGTCCTCTTGATTTGAAGTTTATAATTAATTAATTAAGTGCTCCTTTAACATAAATTTTATTCGCTAAAATCAAACAGATTAACAGAGTTTTTGGATCAATAAATAATGCTACAAAACGTTGTGATTTTGCAATCCGTGAAATTTTACCTCTCGTGTGGATTTACCGTTTTCCCTGTTTGCTAATTTTCAGTTATTTGCGTTCAGATCGAATTAACGTATCACGCACAAAACGGATGGCGTCGCGAGGGAGATGAATGGGAAATTAATTTGCATTAAAAGAGCTAATTGGGGCACGTGCAATAATAAAAGGCATCGGCGCGCAGACACTGCTGCGAGAGAGAGAAACAGGAAACGGGTGTAATTATAGCTGGAGAGCTGCGTCAGCCCTTTTGTAGTCGGCGGCGGCCAAATTGTTATTCACCAGGGAAAAGTTAATTTGCGCCGCCCGCCATGAATAATTGCTGCCCAAGCGTCTTTGCTCCGACAGCTGGAAAATTTTATAGCGAGAAAAAGTGCGAAAAGCCACAAGGCGGAATTGCAAAATTAACTTTTATCCTCGGCATTTATTATGCAAGAATTCCGTTTGAAGTTTTTAAAATACACAAAAAAAGCGATTATATAAAATGGATTTCTTTTAACAAAGTGGAACATTTGAATAAAAGAATTGGATAAAAGTCAATTTCAAAGAAAAAAGGTTTCTATAGAAAAGCTCAAAGTAAAAATTTAAACATTTAGAAAGTTACGACGAAAATACTTTTCCCGGGAAAGTTTGAAATTTTACACAAAATTTGAATTTTAAAATTTCATTAATTATTATCAATTCTTCATATACCCAAATTGAATTTGCCTCTAAAAATTGCCTTTATTAAATAATTTTCCAATTAAAATCACTTTGACAGATTTTTAGCGAAATAAGATTTGATTCTATTTTCAGTTCCGCAGGTAAAGACAATTTTAATTAAGTAAATAACGGGTTGATGATCAAAGACTTTGACTTTTCGTGCAGATTTTCCTCCTTGAAAATTCGTCTCAATGCTCCTTTCTAATTAAAAGGATCGTCCGCCCTCGCGCGCTATTTGCCCTCTTCGTCGTAAAACTCGTCGTGTCACCCCTTCCGAGAATCTCTGTCGACGAAAATTGAGTACGGGAAAGCAAATCCCACTTGTTGCCCTTGTCGATATGCACGTGATTACCAAAAGGGCCTGCAGTGCTGTCGGAGAGATCGCAGCTGTTGCCCTTTTCCTTTCATCTTGAACGAACACACACACCTGTCCTCCCATTTCACCTTTCTGCTCTCCTTCGGAGCGTCAAATTTGCTGTCTCAAATCTCAAAATATATATTTACAACTGATTCCGCGTATGAAAACAATTTATTCCGCCGTCTCAGTTTGCCCTTAGGGCAAAATATGATGCAGCGACGTGGAATATAAATCCACCATCCATCGCGGGGAAAGATGAGGGTCTTCCAGAAGGTTTTCTCTTAGAGAATTGAAAATTTCCATAAATATCTAATTTGAATACAAAATATGGATCTTGAAAAGGAAAGGAAAATGGAATTTACAAAAAAAGGAGACTTTACTCAATTACTCTAGTATTTTGGTTAGAAAACTACTTTTTGATTGATTAGGAAATTTATTTTTTCATCATTAATTAATTCCAATTTCTTCCAAAAAATATGAACATGTAAATAAGAAACTAAATGCATAGTTTTCATCAGATTTTATTAATGCCTCTTTTGTTGTAATTCAATCATTTTTTTTTTCATCACGAAGTTAAATTTTAGGTTATTTTAACCAACGGAAGAACTTTTAAAAGTTAAGCAGAAAAAATGTATTTTTTTTTCTGCAAAAATATTATTTCAATTTTCTTTTATATTTTTCATCATTTTCCCAGCTATTTCTGTACAAATTTTTCATTTTCAAAAGATAAATTAGAGTTTTGCGAGGCTAAATTTTTTGAAATCGAATCAAGAGAAAAAGTTTGCCCAATCATTTTGTCTTTGAAAAATATGTGTATAATTTCCAGAGCAAGCTTATTTATAAAATAACTTTGAAACTATTGGGAAAAAAGTCCAATTTCCAAACCACTTTTCTCTCTGGTTTGTATAAAATGAGAATTTGTGGGACGAGAAGGTGTGCGAAAGTTTTTCGAGCGAAAAGTTGGCCGTTTATATACGCGCGATTACCGGGAAATTTTTAATTCCTCTTCCCAGGTCGGGGCACGTCGGTTCAAAAGGGCTGCTGCCGGTCCAGCTCTCGCTCTTCTTGTCGAACTTTGTTCTCGGAGGCGCGCGTGTCAGCCGCGGCAAAGGCTTTTCCTTTTGACGAGAAAAGACGCTCGCGGGTCTCTTCTTTGAGAAAAGGAAGCTGCCCCGCTTACACGTACAAAAAGAAAAACGCATGCGGCGGAATCTCTCTCTGATAATAATAATAATGCGACCCGGTGTAGTGCACAGTCACCGCCAAATGGATATTGAATTTCAAGCGAGCGAAACGCGAAACCCGCCGCCGCCCGCCAGTTAATTGGAAATTCGACTTGCTCGGCAGCGTCGTTACCTAGAGTAATTGCCATCAAACGGGCGAATTGTCTCACACAATTACACGCCACACCTATGTCATTAAATGAAATTGTCATAAATTAATTCCGCAGTGAATTTCAAAAGAAATTCCAAAGTAAGAATTTTTCAGCCAATCAAATGTGAATCGATATTTTCATAAAAGTTTGCGCTCTAGTT